GTTGTTTTGGGGGGGCCCTGCTGCAGAGATCACCCTGGTTCAGGGGGATTCCAGAGCCAGTGGGGTGTGGGTTGTTTAAGGGGTACCTGCTGCAGAGATCACCCTGGTTCAGGGGGTTCCAGAGCCCCCCGGGTTTGTGTCCCTGTGATTCCAGCAGAGCAGGAGCTCCTGGGGCAACCCTGGGAATGCTGTGTCACAGCCCAGGGTGAGGGCACCAGGAATGGCTTCCCACTGCCAGAGGGATTTTGGGAAGGAATTCCTCCCTGGAAGGATGGTGAAGGGCTGGGCTGGAATTCCCAGGGAAGCTGTGGCTGCCCCTGCATCCCTTGGGAGTGCCCAAGGCCCAGCTGGAGCAGGTTGGGATGGTGGGAGGTGGAACCACACGGTCATTCCCGCCCAAACCATTCCATGGCTCCGTGAATTTGATCAAGGGTTTCTCTTGCCCCTCCGAAGGTCCAAGCCCGACATCAAGATGGAGCCCAGTGCTGGCAGGCCCATGGATTACCAGGTGGGTGACAACGGGGGGGGACCCTTTCCCAGGGAACAACTCCGTGCTGGGCTCCCACAGAACTTCCCAGGAGCTGGAATTCAGACGGTGGAGTGACAAACCCAAGATTGGGTTTATGAGCTGGGCGGGTTCTCCCACGTGATGTGGAGCCCAATGAAGCCCAAATTAAGCTCTTCCAGTCTCTCCCTGGAGCAGCCTGGGATGGTGGAAGGTGTCCCAGCCCGTGGCAGGGAATTGGGTGACCCTCAGGGTCCCTTCCAGCCCCACCCACCCGCTCCGGGATTCTGTGATCCCATTGTTTGGTCCCACTGGCCGAGCTCTGATCCCACAGCTCGGATAAATCCACGTGGTTCCCACCTGGCTCGAAGCCCCCGCTCTCTGGGGCTGAGACAACAGGGAATTCCCGGGATCTCCTGCATTCCACACCCCCCTGGGATGTGCCTGAGCAGCCCTGGTGTCCCTGGGATTCCCCGAATCCGGGAAAACGCCTCCAAAGGAGGGGCAGGGAGAGGAATCCCGGCCCTGCCGGTGCCAGGGGGAGGTGAAGGTGCCCCCAAACTCCCCGTCCCCAGGTCAGTGTGACCATCATCGAGGCCCGGCAGCTCGTGGGGCTCAACATGGACCCCGTGGTGTGCGTGGAGGTGGGAGAGGAGAAGAAGTTCACGTCCATGAAGGAGTCCACAAACTGCCCCTACTACAACGAGGTGGGTCTGGGCTTGGGGGGGCAATTCCAGGGCTGCTCTGCCCTGGGGGAAGGGGCGTCTCCCATCCCCTGGCGCTGCTTTGGGCTTTGTCCAGGTATCCCACATGGATCAGGGGTGGGAGTCCTGGAAAACATGGAAAATCCCGGAGTTTGCCATTAACTTCCAAAGCACTTTTGGATTTCCCGTCGTCTCCTGGGAGAGCTGATGAGCTCCAGCTTTTCCTTTGCGCTCTGGAAGTTCTCCTTGGGATCCAGAGCTGTAAAATGGTTTTGATGTTTCTCCAAATTAACTCCACACCTTCCATGTGATTAATTCCCGGACTTTCCATTGGAATTCCACACTTTGGGATTGTTTAGGTGTCCCTTCACAGGGAAGGATTCCTTCCCAATATCCCATCAACCCTGTGGCAGTGGGAAGCCGTTCCCTCCTTGTCCTGTCATTCCATACCCTCTCCAGCTCTCCTGGAGCCCCTTCCAGTGCCAGGAGGTGGAATCCGGGTGGAATTTGGAGCCTTCGGGGTTCACGGGAGGTGCCCCTGGGGTCACCTGGGATGGATTATCTGAATTATCCTCGGATTTTCCAAGGGTTTAGTGCTTCCCTCAGCCCTCCCTGGGGTCCAGAGGTCGGTGCTGGGGTCCCAGGGGCGCATCCCGGGTGCTGCTGGGGCTTTTCCCAGGGTTTTCCGACCCCAGGGATCCCCCCCCGGCTCCTCCCTGACGGCTCCTCCTTCCCTTCCAGTACTTTGTCTTCGACTTCCACGTCCCCCCCGACGTCATGTTCGACAAGATCATCAAGCTGTCCGTGAGTCAGAGCCGTTCCCTCAGCCTTTTCCTGGGATTTGGGGAGAAAACGGCCCTTTTTGGGATGGATTTGAGCTCCTTGGTGGGAGATTCCCAACAGGAACCGAGGGGTTCATTCCCACAGCCCCCCCCCAGCTGGAAGAACCCCCTGTCCTTGCTTCCCTCAAATCCTGGATCCATCCAGCTCCTTCCCTCAAATCCTGGATCCATCCAACCTCATCCTGTAAATCCTG